CATCTAAGGAATTGTATCTGTACTCCAGTTCTCTGAATTAAGCCTGAATATCTTCCACCCTTTCCCCCACAGGTGCTGTATAATCCTACGAGTTTAGCGCTTCCCCATGATTATAATAATCTATAGTCTCGGAGTGGTTGGAAAGTGTACTGATCTCGGAAAAGTGATGGAGGCTGGCTCTGTACAAGGCAATGAAGGGATGAATCTGACTAGTTGAGAGGCGAGACCAGGAGCTAAAGCCCGACCTCTGTAACTACATATAGGTGAGCACATACACACAAATACACACATACACACACACACACACACACACACACACACACACACACACACACACACACACACACACACACACACACATTCTAGTCAACATCTCTCATCACTCACATTATTAACAACACTCAACGGTTCTAATATCATTATACTTTATCCTCGTATTTTTATCACTAGCGGGCCAATACTGTGCCAATACTGCGCCAATACCGTGCCAGTCACTAGACATCACCGGTCCCTAAACACGTCCTCAGCTCTCTAAGTGACAATTATTTTTCCTGTTTACAACTCGAATTGATAATTGAAATCCTCGAGTCTCGTATTTCTGAAATTAAACTAGCTGTATTTTTCCCCCTCTTATGAGATGAACGAATCGCGTTTTATCTTAAATATTTGACGCCAGAGCCTCACATCCCTGGTGAGAGATTGCGAGATTAATTCCGGGTGGACTCGGATGAGTGAAGGATTGATGGAGAACAAGATAAATGTAATTGTATGATTATTTGATGTTAAGGTATAATGTTGACAAACCTGGGAATGAAAACATGATGTGAATTACGAGCTTTTGTTGGTTTTACTAGAAGATTGTTGTGTGTATTGTGTCTTCGGTTTTAATAAAAGCTTAGTCTGTGTATTGTCTTTTTTTTTAGGCTTGCGGAATGACAGGAGACACGCGAGCACGATAAGGAAAGGGGAAAAGTGGAGGTGAAAAGAGAAATGACACAGAGAGCATATACAAACACCTGTACACAATGAAACAGACATAAATGCACATGTTCACAGACACACACAGAGACATAAACATACACACACACACCACACACTGGAGGGTTGGAGGGTTAGGGGGGACATGATAACGACATACAAAATTCTGCGAGGAATAGATAAGGTGGACAGAGACAGGATGTTCCAGAGATGGGACACAGAAACAATGGTTCACAATTGGAAGTTGAAGACTCAGATGAGTCAAAGGGATGTTAGGAAGTATTTCTTCAGTCATAGAGTTGTCACGAAGGGGAATAGTCTGGCAAGTGATGTAGTGGAGGCAGGAACCATACATAGTTTTAAGATGAGGTATGATAATGCTCATGGAGCGACCACTGAAGAGGCGGCGTCAGGAGCTGAGTCTCGACCCCTGCAACTACAATTAGGTGAGTACACACAAACGCAACGTGCACACACACAAACATATCAACGAACTGGCTCACGAAATCGTAATGACACGATTGCAAACAAACCATACCCCGGCTGGGATTGAACCCGCGGTCAGAGAGTCTCAAAACTCCAGCCCGTCGCGTTAGCCACTAAAGATAAATCAGAAGAACATTACCCGGCTATAAGAGGAAACAGCGGCTAAGCTAAGAACAATGACTAAGATAATGCACCAAGGATCACTACCATTAATAATAACTAAGAAAACGCACAAAGGATCACTTTTATTGGTTAGATTAATGTTAGTCTGGTCACTGTGGTCAATGTTTATATTAATGTTAGTCTGGTCACTGTGGTCAGTGTTAATATTAATGTTAGTCTGGTCACTGTGGTCAGTGTTAATATTAATGTTAGTCTGGTCACTGTGGTCAGTGTTTATATTAATGTTAGTCTGGTCACTTTGGTCAGTGTTTATATTAATGTTAGTCTGGTCACTGTGGTCAGTGTTTATATTAATGTTAGTCTGGTCACTGTGGTCAGTGTTTATATTAATGTTAGTCTGGTCACTTTGGTCAGTGTATATATTAATGTTAGTCTGGTCACTGTGGTCAGTGTTAATATTAATGTTAGTCTGGTCACTGTGGTCAGTGTTTATATTAATGTTAGTCTGGTCACTGTGGTCAGTGTTAATATTAATGTTAGTCTGGTCACTGTGGTCAGTGTATATATTAATGTTAGTCTGGTCACTGTGGTCAGTGTTAATATTAATGTTAGTCTGGTCACTGTGGTCAATGTTAATATTAATGTTAGTCTGGTCACTGTGGTCAGTGTATATATTAATGTTAGTCTGGTCACTGTGGTCAGTGTTAATATTAATGTTAGTCTGGTCACTGTGGTCAGTGTTAATATTAATGTTAGTCTGGTCACTGTGGTCAATGTTTATATTAATGTTAGTCTGGTCACTGTGGTCAGTGTTAATATTAATGTTAGTCTGGTCACTGTGGTCAATGTTAATATTAATGTTAGTCTGGTCACTGTGGTCAGTGTTAATATTAATGTTAGTCTGGTCACTGTGGTCAGTGTATATATTAATGTTAGTCTGGTCACTGTGGTCAGTGTTAATATTAAATGTTAGTCTGGTCACTGTGGTCAATGTTAATATTAATGTTAGTCTGGTCACTGTGGTCAGTGTATATATTAATGTTAGTCTGGTCACTGTGGTCAGTGTATATATTAATGTTAGTCTGGTCACTGTGGTCAGTGTTAATATTAATGTTAGTCTGGTCACTGTGGTCAATGTTTATATATTAATGTTAGTCTGGTCACTGTGGTCAGTGTTAATATTAATGTTAGTCTGGTCACTGTGGTCAATGTTAATATTAATGTTAGTCTGGTCACTGTGGTCAGTGTTAATATTAATGTTAGTCTGGTCACTGTGGTCAGTGTTTATATTAATGTTAGTCTGGTCACTGTGGTCAGTGTTAATATTAATGTTAGTCTGGTCACTGTGGTCAGTGTTAATATTAATGTTAGTCTGGTCACTGTGGTCAGTGTTTATATTAATGTTAGTCTGGTCACTGTGGTCAGTGTATATATTAATGTTAGTCTGGTCACTGTGGTCAGTGTATATATTAATGTTAGTCTGGTCACTGTGGTCAGTGTATATATTAATGTTAGTCTGGTCACTGTGGTCAGTGTATATATTAATATTAGTCTGGTCACTGTGGTCAGTGTATATATTAATGTTAGTCTGGTCACTGTGGTCAGTGTATATATTAATGTTAGTCTGGTCACTGTGGTCAGTGTATATATTAATGTTAGTCTGGTCACTGTGGTCAGTGTATATATTAATGTTAGTCTGGTCACTGTGGTCAGTGTATATATTAATGTTAGTCTGGTCACTGTGGTCAGTGTATATATTAATGTTAGTCTGGTCACTGTGGTCAGTGTATATATTAATATTAGTCTGGTCACTGTGGTCAATGTTAGGTTGCGTAGATTTTCCGCCGTTTGAACATATTGATCTTTCTATAACCTATGTGTAAGGTAACTTTGTGTTTGCGTCTTCAGTCAAGTATGTATGTTCTCTTGCATTTTTTCTCCCATTTTGTCTTAGATGTTTACATTTTGTTGACGAAAGAACAGAACTTACGGAAAATATCTACATCTCTCTCTCTCTCTCTCTCTCACACACACACACACACACACACACACACACACACACACACACACACACACACACACACACACACACACACACACACACACACATACACACACACGCACTTCTAGATTCTAAAACAAACCAGCGCCTCCTTCATACTGTATTCAAGAGAGCCAACTCTCATCCCAACTTTGGCTAAGGACGAAAAAACTTTTCCGGGACGCCATTGACTAAGGGAGCCGGATAGTGAGGCGGAGGATCACCCCCAGCCAGCAGTACCTCCTCTGATACCAACTATAGGATCATCTCTAGCCGGCAATACCTCTTCTGATAGCAGCTTAAGGATCACCTCCAGCTGGTAGTACCTCCTCTGATACCAGCTTTGAGATGACAGACAGCTGGCAATACCTCCTCTAACACCAGCTTTCAGATCACAACCTATGGTACCAGATTTGGGATCAGCATCATCTGGTGATCTCCTAAGTATGATTACTGACGCAGCGACGACATCACTCGCGAGAAATACTGTACTCTAAATATGCACATACAACCTCGAACTTAAGAAAACATTTCTGTTGTGTGTAGAATAAATCAAGTTATCCCTTTAACCAGCAATTAAAAGAAATTATTAGTTATTTTTACAATGAATAATGAGTTCTTATAAGTATCCCTTCCCCTTTTCTTTAATTACTCTCTCTCTCTCTCTCTATCTATCTCTCTCTCTCAAAATAGTTTCATCTCGTTCAGTGCCTCCTCCTCTACTCCACACGTCAAGTGATCGTCGTACAGTGCCTCCTCTACTCCACACGTCAAGTGATCGTCGTACAGTGCCTCCTCTACTCCATACGTCAGGTGATCGTCGTACAGTGCCTCCTCTACTCCACACGTCAAGTGATCGTCGTACAGTGCCTCCTCCACACGTCAAATGATCGTCACTCGTCAGATAAACTTTTCCCTTCTATTTGTCCTGAGTGGAAATGTTAATTATTTCTACTGAAGATAACTGCAGGATTAATTAAGAATTCTGATTGACTTTCTCTTTACCTGAATGTTATTCTGATTCACCTTCTGGGTAGTGAGAATGATGACGAGTGAGAGTAATGCATGTAGATACTGACACAACACAGACACAGACACACATACATACAAAACAGACACAATAACCGTACACACATTTTCGTTTGCAATAGCAGCAGAAACGAACTGACAGACACAAGCTTACTCAGCAGCTGAGAGATTAACAACAAGCATACTCAGCAGCTGAGAGATTAACGACAAGCTTATTTAACAGCTGAGAGATTAACAACAAGCATACTCAGCAGCTGAGAGATTAACAACAAGCTTACTTAACAGCTGGGTGATTAACGACAAGCGATTAACGAGAGAAAGAAAAAGACACTCTGGTACTCACTCCTGTGGGCAGTGTCTGTCATGTCTCGCTGAATCTTCACTCTTCTCAGTCCCTTATCCTGCAGACTCGCTGCAAAATAACACCAGAGAAATGTAAACAAAAATCTTAACAAACACACAGATAAAGACATTAACAGAATCATGACAAAGATATACCTAAATATAACGTAAAAAATATCGAATATATAAATACAAACAAAAACACGAACAAAGGCAACATTATCCCGAAGGATAAATTTCACAATACTGTTCTTGGAGAACAAATCGCAACTAAATTGTAAATATGAGAGAAAAATTTTGTTGACGACGTTTCGGTCCGTCTGATGATTTATTACTAAGAGTCACCACGTTTCGGAGTACATCCTTTCCGATGCTGGTTTCCTTCTGTTTGTCTGTCTACCAATAATATAGATGGGTATTGGTAGCTCTATTCGCTTGCAGGCTCCAATATTCTGTGTAACACAGGTAGAGGGGTTTCAAACACACTCGTAGGTTTTGTCCTGTGGAAAGGACGGTAACGTCCTGGTGGGTTTAGTCCTGGGTGAGCTATGGCTGCGCCTTCCTCTGCATCTGAACGGGCTTGTTGATTTACTGACCTACTGTCTATTTACCTACTTCCCTGCCCTCTCCCAGTCGTGCCTTGATAGAGCTCCAGAACGGGCCAACCATCTTTTAAATTAAATGTGAAAGGGGATCCTTGTTATACACGTCGTTTGACGAAGAGTTATCCCTGATTTGTGGGTTTCTCATGAAAGACGTCATCGGTACCTTGAACTAACCAGTCTCCCAAAGATACAAACAAGGACAGAATTAAGAGGTTGACGTGGGCGTGAGAAAGGGGTGAGAAGGAGTGAGAGGGAGTAAGAGGGCGTGAGTGGGCTGGAGGTAGATGAGTGTGTTGACATCCAGAATAGTCGCCCTGTAAAACTTACTGACATTTTCAAAGCCTTACTGTGTGTGCGTATGTGTGTGTGTGCGTGAGTGTGTGTGTGTGTGTGTGTGTGTGTGTGTGTGGTGTGTGTGTGTGTGTGTGTGTGTGTGTGTGTGTGGGTGTGTGTGAAAGAGAGAGAGAGAGAGAGAGAGAGAGAGTGTGTGTGTGTGTGTGTGTGTGTGTGTATTCACCTAGTTGAGGCTGCAAGGGTCGAGTCACAGCTCCTGGCCCCGCCTCTTCACTGGTCGCTACTAGGTCAATCTTCCTGTATCATACCTCTTCTTAAAGCTATGTATGGATCCTGCCACCACTACATCACTCCCCAGACTATTCCACTTCCTGACAACTCTGTGACTGAAGAAATACTTCCTAACATCCCTGTGATTCATCTGATTCTTCAACTTCCAATTGTGACCCCTTGTTGCTGTGTCCCATCTCTGGAACATCCTGTCTCTGTCCAGCTTGTCGATTCCTTTCAGTATTTTATATGTCGTTATCATATCCCCCCTATCTCTCCTGTCCTCCAGTGTCATCAGGTTGATTTCCCTTAGCCTCTCCTCGTAGGACATGCCCCTTAGCTCTGGGACTAGTCTTGTTGCAAACCTTTGCACTTTCTCTAGTTTCTTTACGTGCTTGCCTAGGTGTGGGTTCCAAACTGGTGCCGCATACTCCAATATGGGCCTAACGTACACGGTGCACAGGGTCCTGAATGATTCCTTATTGAGATGTCGGAATGCTGTTCTGAGGTTTGCTAGGCGCCCATATGCTGCAGCAGTTATTTGGCTGATGTGCGCTTCAGGAGATGTGCCTGGTGTTATACTCAACCCAGATCCTTTTTCTTGAGTGAGATTTGTAGTCTTTGGCCCACTTGACTGCACTCCGTCTGCGGTCTTCTGTGCCCTTCTCCAATCTTCATGACTTAGCACTTGGTGGGTTTGAACTCCAGGAACCAGTTGTTGGACCAGGTATGCAGCCTGTCCAGATTCCTTTGTATTTCTGCCTGGTCCTCGTCCGATTGGATTCTTCTCATCAACTTTACATCATCTGCAAACAGCTACGCTTCTGAATCTATTCCTTCCGTCATGTTCACAAATACCAGAAACAGCACCGGTCCTAGGACTGACCCCTGTGGAACCCCGCTCGTCACAGGCGCCCACTCTAACACCTCGCCAAGTACAATGACTCGCTGTTGTCTTCCTGACAGGTAATACCTGATCCATCGCAGTGCCTTCCCTTTTATCCCTGCCTGGTCCTCCAGCTTTTGCACTAATCTCTTTTGTGGAACTGTGTCAAACGCCTTCTTACAGACCAAGAAAACACAATCTACCCACCCCTCTTTCTCTTGTCTTACTGCTGTCACCCTGCCATAGAACTTCAGTAGGTTTGTGACACAAGATTTCCCGTCCCTGAAGCCGTGCTGGCTGTCGTTGATAAACTCATTTCTTTCTATGTGCTCCAGCACTCTTCTGATAATCTTCTCCGTGACTTTGCATACTATACATGTCAGTGACACTGGTCTGTAGTTTAATGCTTCATGTCTGACTCCTTTTTTAAAAATTAGGACTATGTCTGCTGTCTTCCATACATCAGGTAGTAGCCCTGTTACGATAGATGTGTTGAAGATTGTTGTTAGTGATAAACATAGCGCCTCTGCTCCCTCTCTAAGGACCCATGGAGAGATGTTATCCGGTCCAATCGCCTTGGATGTATCTAGCTCGCTTAGCAGCCTCTTCACTTCATCCTCGGTTGTATGTATTGTGTCCAACAGTCGATGGTGGAGCCCAGCTCTCCGTCTTTCTGGAGTCCCTTCTGTCTCCTATGTGAACACTTCTTTGAATCTCATGTTGATCTTGTGACCTCCCCTCCTTCCTTCCTTAGCCTGATTACCTGGTCCTTGACTGTGTGTTTTCCTCCTGATGTGGCTGTACAACAACTTCAGGTCAGATTTGGATTCCGCTGCTATGTCATTTTCGTATTGTCGTTGGGCCTCCCTTCTTACCTGTGCACATTCATTTCTGGTGTGTGTGTGTGTGTGTGTGTGTGTGTATGTGTGTGTGTGTGTGTGTGTGTGTGTGTGTGTGTGTGTGTGTGTGTGTGTGTGTGTGTGTGTATGTGTATGTGTGTGTGTGTGTGTGTGTGTGTGTGTGTGTGTGTGTGTGTGTGAGTGTGTGTACGTGTACGTGTGCGTGTATTTGTGTACACGCCTGGGAGAACACATCCTTGACTCCCCCATGAAGTCACTATATATAGCTCTCATTAGCGTTTACTGCCAGAGTGGCACCCTGTGCTGAATGTGCCTGTAAGTTGGCACTGCTTCTCGATTATAACAAATGTGCCTGTAAGTCGGCACTGCTTCTCTACTATAACGAATGTTCCTGTAAGTTGGCACTGCGTCTCTATTATAATGCTGGACATGTGGCACTGCCTCTCTATTGTAACGCTAGACATGTGGCACTGCTTGTATATTATAAAGCAATAGAAGTGCCATTACATGTGTTTTACGCCGAAAAATACCTGACATTTTTATGTGTATTATAACATATGTGGCATTATATTTTATGGCGTAAGAGAAGTGGCACTATATGTTATGACGGTTTTGAAGTATGTTATGACGTAGATGAAAGACAAGAGACATGGCACCGTCTTATGATGAAAGGGAGATGACGCTGTCTTTCATGATGTAGAAATAACAGTTCTTGTATTATAACGTAACAGACGTAGCTTTATCTTTAATGACGTAACAAAAGTGTCTCTTACTTCATTGAGGTCAAAGATGTTTGTAAAAGTTGAGGTCTAGCTAGGAGGTGTAGAAGTTGAAATCTAGCTAGGAGGTGTAGAAGCTGAAATCTAGCTAGGAGGTGTAGAAGTTGAAATCTAGCTAGGAGGTGTAGAAGTTGAAATCTAGCTAGGAGGTGTAGAAGCTGAAATCTAGCTAGGAGGTGTAGAAGTTGAAATCTAGCTAGGAGGTGTAGAAGTTGAAATCTAGCTAGGAGGTGTAGAAGTTGAAATCTAGCTAAGAGGTGTAGAAGTTGAAATCTAGATAGGAGGTGTAGAAGTTGAAATCTAGCTAGGAGGTGTAGAAGTTGAAATCTAGCTAGGAAATATAGATGTTGAAGTCTAGGATGTATGGAAATTGAAGTCTAGAATGTACAGAAGTTTATGTCTAGCATGCATAAAAGTTGAAATCTAGGCTGTAAAAAAGGTGAAGTCAAAGGCAATATTAGATTTCAGCTAGAAGGAGTTGGATTTGAGAATCTAGTTCCTAGGTAAGAATGAAAGCGAGTCTCACTCCTGCCATCCACACATAACCTCACTTACTACTGCCATACTAACATAACCTCACTTACTCCTGACATCCTAACATAACCTCACTTACTACTGCCATACTAACATAACCTTACTTACTCCTGACATCCTAACATAACCTCACTTACTCCTGCCATCCTAACATAACCTCACTTACTCCTGCAATCCTCACATAACCTCACTTACTCCTGCCATCCTCACATAACCTCACTTACTCCTGAAATCCTCACATAACCTCACTCCTGCCATCCTCACATAACCTCACTTACTCCTGCCATCCTAACATAACCTCACTTACTCCTGCAATCCTCACATAACCTCACTTACTCCTGCCATCCTCACATAACCTCACTTACTCCTGCCATCCTCACATAACCTCACTCCTGCCATCCTCACATAACCTCACTTACTCCTGCCATCCTCACATAACCTCACTTACTCCTGCCATCCTCACATAACCTCACTTACTCCTGCCATCCTCACATAATCTCACTTACTCTGCCATCCTCACATAACCTCACTTACTCCTGCCATCCTCACATAACCTCACTCCTGCCATCCTCACATAACCTCACTTATTCCTGCCATCCTCACATAACTTCACTTACTCCTGCCATCCTCACATAACCTCACTTACTCCTGCCATCCTCACATAACTTCACTTACTTCTGCCATCCTCACATAACCTCACTTACTCCTGCCATCCTCACATAACTTCACTTACTCTTGCCATCCTAACATAACCTCACTTACTCCTGCCATCCTCACATAACTTCACTTATCCTGCCATCCTCACATAACTTCACTTACTCTTGCCATCCTAACATAACCTCACTTACTCCTGCCATCCTCACATAACCTCACTTACTCCTGCCATCCTCACATAACTTCACTTACTCTTGCCATCCTAACATAACCTCACTTACTCCTGCCATCCTCACATAACTTCACTTACTCTTGCCATCCTAACATAACCTCACTTATTCCTGCCATCCTCACATAACTTCACTTACTCCTGCCATCCTCACATAACCTCACTTGCTCCTGCCATCCTAACATCACCTCACTTACTCCTGCCATCCTCACATAACTTCACTTACTCCTGCCATCCTAACATAACCTCACTTACTCCTGCCATCCTCACATAACTTCACTTACTCCTGCCATCCTAACATAACCTCACTTACTCCTGCCATCCTCACATAACTTCACTTACTCCTGCCATCCTCACATAACTTCACTTACTCCTGCCATCCTAACATAACCTCACTTACTCCTGCCATCCTCACATAACTTCACTTACTCCTGCCATCCTCACATAACCTCACTTACTCCTGCCATCCTAACATAACCTCACTTACTCCTGTCATCCTCACATAACATCACTCCTGCAATCCTCACATAACCTCACTTACTCCTGCCATCCTCACATAACCTCACTCCTGCCACCCTCCCATAACCTCACTTACTCCTGCCATCCTCACATAACCTCACTTACTCCTGCCATCCTCACATAACCTCACTTACTCCTGCCATCCTCACATAACCTCACTTACTCCTGCCATCCTCACATAACTTCACTTACTCCTGCCATCCTCACATAACCTCACTTACTCCTGCAATCCTCAAATAACCTCACTTACCCCTGCCATCCTCACATAACCTCACTTACTCCTGCCATCCTCACATAACCTCACTTACTCCTGCCATCCTAACATAACCTCACTTACTCCTGCATCCTCACATAACCTCACTTACTCCTGCCATCCTCACATAACCTCACTTACTCCTGCCATCCTCACATAACCTACTTACTCCTGCCATCCTAACATAACCTCACTTACTCCTGCCATCCTCACATAACCTCACTTACTCCTGCCATCCTCACATAACCTCACTTACTCCTGCCATCCTAACATAACCTCACTTACTCCTGCCATCCTCACATAACCTCACTTACTCCTGCCATCCTCACATAACCTCACTTACTCCTGCCATCCTCACATAACCTCACTCCTGCCATCCTCACATAACCTCACTTACTCCTGCCATCCTCACATAACCTCACTCCTGCCATCCTCACATAACCTCACTTACTCCTGCCATCCTCACATAACCTCACTTACTCCTGCCATCCTCACATAACCTCACTTACTCCTGCCATCCTCACATAACCTCACTTACTCCTGCCATCCTCACATAACCTCACTCCTGCCATCCTCACATAACCTCACTTACTCCTGCCATCCTCACATAACCTCACTCCTGCCATCCTCACATAACCTCACTTACTCCTGCCATCCTCACATAACCTCACTTACTCCTGCCATCCTCACATAACCTCACTCCTGCCATCCTCACATAACCTCACTTACTCCTGCCATCCTCACATAACCTCACTTACTCCTGCCATCCTAACATAACCTCACTTACTCCTGCCATCCTAACATAACCTCACTTACTCCTGCCATCCTCACATAACCTCACTTACTCCTGCCATCCTCACATAACCTCACTTACTCCTGCCATCCTCACATAACCTCACTTACTCCTGCCATCCTCACATAACCTCACTTACTCCTGCCATCCTCACATAACTTCACGTTCCACTTAGAAACAAGAAACTGCGTAGGTTAATAAGGAGAAGAGCCTAAGTTCTTTATTTTTCTATAGTTCTCTTTACTTTTTTATAGTTTTTCTTTTTTTTCTATATTTTTTTTTTTTAATTTTCTATAGATCTCTTTATTTTTCTGTAAATCTCTTTATTTTTTATAGTTATCTTTATTTTTCTATAGTTCTCTTCATTTTTCTATAGTTCTCTTCATTTTGCTATAGTTCTCTTTATATTCCTATAGATCTCTCTTTATTTTTCTATAATTTTCTTTATTCTTTTAAATTTTTTTTAGAATTTTTCTATATTTCTCTTAACTCTTGTATAGTTTTCTTTTATTATTCGATAGTTCTCTTTACTTCTCTGTCCTTATTTACTTTCCTATACTTCTCTTTATTTTTAGTAGCTCTCTTTACTTTTAATACTTCTCTTTATTTTTAGTAGTTCTCTTTACTTTTAATACTTCTCTTTATTTTTAGTAGCTCTCTTTACTTATAATACTTCTCTTTATTTTTAGTAGCTCTCTTTACTTTTAATACTTCTCTTTATTTTTAGTAGCTCTCTTTACTTTTAATACTTCTCTTTATTTTTAGTAGCTCTCTTTACTTTTAATACTTCTCTTTATTTTTAATAGTTTTCTTTACTTTTAATACTTCTCTTTATTTTTATTAGTTCTCTTTGCTTTTCTATTCTTCTTTACTTATCTATAGTTCTCATGATATTTTACGTTCTTTTGGTAAGGTTTTTGACTTTTTTTAGTTGAGTTCTGCAAATGATTTAATGTTTCATCTCAGGTTCTTGTGTTCTTCGTATGACTTATTAGGTTCTTAGGTTATCAAGTTTACCTTCTGTTCTTCATACGAATTATCGTTCTCTTTCTAAGTTCCCTTGTTCTTCCTTTGCTTTATTATGTCCCTAAGTTCTCAAGTCTTTATTGTTATAACTTTTGGCTCCTTATAGAGGAATTCAGAACATTGCAATTATTTCTTTTGTAAATAAATCTGAAAAAAATTCATTAAAAATCTACATAATTAGGCAATTTATACTTTAAATTAAAAAATTTTTAAAAAATCATTAAAAATCTACATAATTAGGCAATTTCTTCTTTAAATTAAATAAATCCGAAAAAGTCATTAAAAATCTACGTATTTAGGCAATATCTAGTATAAATTAATACTGTTTTTAGTCATATATGTAATTTTAATAGAAAAAAAACGAAATTTCTTAAAATTGCTTGAAAAATCTCAAGGAAAACGTGAAAAATGGTACGAAATGTTTGCGAAATATTAACCATTTTTACGATAGCTACCGCTACATTTACTATTTTTACGATATCTGCCACTATTTTTGCGAAAAAGAATAACAGTTTCTACGATAGTTACCACATTATGAAAAATCAACAATATTTACGATAGTCACCACTACTTTTTACGAAATATTAACTATTTCCAGGATAACCACGACTTACCTTTACGATGATCGATATCTACGTCGTGTATGACGATGCGTATTGTCTCTCCTTCCGTGACCGAGCTCTGTCTCTTGAGCCCGTCGTCCATGCCCAGGTCTCTCGAAGTGTTGACCTCCAGTGATTGCGTGATGCGAGGTGGCACGCCCACGCCCGCTGTGGGGGTGGGCGTGGTGGCTGGGTATCCCGTTGTCCCTCGTGGTGAGGCTGGGGGCGTGGGTAGTATTCTACCCCCCTCAGATCTGAGAGCGGGATAGATAGTATATGTGAGAGAGAGACTCCATGGTATATATGCGCTGACTGGTAACTCGGTATATATGCAATGAGATGTGTAGTTGCGTCCCGGTATACATTTACAGATTCACTCCTCTCTGTGTATACTGTATAAAGTGAGAGGTATACATCTCTCGCTGTATATACACTGAGGAAAAAAACACTTCTAGTTAGATGTACAGTGATATAATATATATATATATATATATATATATATATATATATATATAATATATATATATATATATATATATATATATATATTATATATATATATATATATATATATATATATATATACATATATATATATATATATGTATATATATATATATATATATATATATATATATATATATATATATATATATATATATATACAGTGAGTGAGAGAGAGAGAGAGACAGAGAGAGAGGGAGGGAGGGAGGGAGAGGGAGGGAGGGAGAGGGAGGAAGAGAGAGAGAGAGAGGTAAATCTGTGTTGGTTATTGAGAGAATGTAGTGGTGGAGGGTCGATCCTCCGTTTGGTCAAGCGTGTTAAAACTCACACTGCTGAGGATTTCCTCCTAGTGGGGCGGTACTCTTCTTCCGGGTGCAGCAACCACTGCTCGTCCTCCAAGCTTGAGGATAACGTCCTTCTTGGAGAGCTCTGAGCGGAAGTCACTCCACTTCCTCCTCCTCCAGAGCCTCCTACAAGAGGAGCGACCTCAGGAGAGAGAGGCGTGGAAGAAGACTCCAGACCTGAGGAAAAGAGAGAGAGAGAGAATTAGAAGTTAAATATTGAGTGTCAGTCGCTCAAAGGACGGAAGGCTCGATCCTCCATCCGTTAACTGAAATTTGGTGTCTGACCCACCAGATTACGGAAGCCTGCGGTCTACGGGCAGCAACAGCCTGGCTGATCAGCCTGTCAATCGTAATTCTTGTTTCGGGATGGATTGCAAGAGAAAAACTCGCGAATGCGGTCACAGGTATATGTCATGTAGGTCAGGATCATCGTCCCCGCCATCCAGCCCCAGAGATGGTCTCCTGTACACTGGTCGTGAATGCTTTCCTAATCTCAGCGTAGGTACCACAGCCTGGTTGATCAGAGGAAAACTCCTGCATGGACAGTATAATATATATATATATATATATATATATATATATATATATATATATATATATATATATATATATATATATATATATATATATATATATATATATATATATATATATATGTTGTGCCGAATAGGTAAAACTTGCGATTTTGGCTTAAACAGCAACGATCTTCTTGCTGAATAAGACAAGCGAAAATTTGTGTGTGCAATAATTTCGCAAAAATCATTATAACCTAACGAGAAAAATATATTTCATTGTGTTTGTTTATAATTAAATTATTGCAAAATTATCATCTAAAATATTTTAGGTTAAATTAAATTGCGCTTGTTATAATAAGGTTAGGTAAGTTTTCTAAGGTTCTTTTGGTAAAAAATTAATTTTTACATTAACATGAAAAAATATATCTCTAAATTTATAAGAGAAAATTTTAGAAAGGACTTAATTTTAAATGAGTTCTTGATAATTGATCAGTTTTACCTATTCGGCACGACGCACACACACACACACACACACACACACACACACACACACACACACACACATACACACACACACACACACCCCACACCACGCATAAAACACACACACAACACACACACACACACACACACACACACACACACACACACACACACACATATATATATATATATATATATATATATATATATATATATATATATATATAAATATAGAGAGAGAGAGAGAGAGAGAGAGAGAGAGAGAGAGGTAAATCTGTGTTGGTTATTGAGAGAATGTAGTGGTGGAGGGTCGATATATATATATATATATATATATATATATATATATATATAATATATATATATATATATATATATATATATATATTACTAGGTCCCATTTCTGCATCTGACACACGTCTCCACCCACAGACTCTTTGTATTGTGGTGACATTCCAGTTCACTGCAGTTCACTGGTTCTATTCACACCGAGTTCAAGTTTATTGCGGCAAAGTGGCAGCCGAGTAGTGTTGTCTGCATGGTGTGAACTGTACAAGTTCTAAACGACTGCTAGACATAACGAAGCCACAGCCTAGTGCCCAGCTGACAGAGAGAGAGAGAGAGAGAGAGAGAGAGAGAGAGAGAAGAGAGAGAGAGAGAGAGAGAGAGAGAGAGAGAGAGAGAGAGAAAAGAAGAGAGAGGAGAGAGAGAGAGAGAGAGAGAGAGAGAGAGAGAGAGAGAGAGAGAGAGAGAGAGAGAGAGAGAGAGAGAGAGAGAGAGAGAGAGAGAGAGAGAGAGAGAGAGAAAACCACGATCCCTGTGAAGACAAGACACAGAGCAAACTGTCAGTGAGACAAAGTTTCCGTTTTCACAGAGCGAAATTTTTTCCAATATAGGCTTGTTCTGCAAGCTGTCACAACTTCACTTTTGTTGGAGGTACCTCATTTGCATACAGATTTGATCCCTTTTAGACAAACGCCCAAGTGTTGCTGAAGGAACGCCGCCCTGACAGACAGGGACCTCACATCTACTCTGGCGAACACTCAAGTAAATAATCCTGTTGATCATTGGGAAATAAGATCAGCGAGAAGAGCTACTTGATAAACAGCTACAAGTTTGTTTCAGTAACACTGGTGACCATTGATCCTTGGGGCAACATCACCTCGAGTTTCCTCTAAGGCAGAAAAGTTGCCAGGGATCTTCGATAAAGTTGGAGATCCAAAGGTTACTTAGTGCCTTTGTTCTTCAGCACTTTAGTGTAACCATCCGGAAGGCAATCATATATATTCCAGTCTTCTACAAATAGGAAGAGCGTGTCTCTGGAGCTCAGCAGACAGAGGAGGATCAAGCCTCCTCCTCGACTTGAGCTAAATGACCCACATGGGTTTAGCGCTTAACATGAATGCAATAATAATAGTAGAAGTGATGCAAGGAGGGAAGAGTATATGGAGAAAAAGAGAGTGGTGAAGCAATGTAAAAAGAGAGCAAATGAGAGAGTGGGTGAGATGTTATCAACAAATTTTGTTGAAAATAAGAAAAAGTTTTGGAGTGAGATAAACAAGTTAAGAAAGCCTAAAGAACAAATGGATTTGTCAGTTAAAAATAGGAGAGGAGAGTTATTAAATGGAGAGTTAGAGGTATTGGGAAGATGGAAGGAATATTTTGAGGAATGTTAAATGCTGATGAAGAATAGGGAAGCTGTGATTTCGTGTATAGGCAAGGAGGAATAACATCTTGTAGGAGTGAGGAGAGCCAGTTGTGAGTGTGGGGAAGTTCGTGAGGCAGTAGGTAAATTGAAAGGGGTAAGGTATCGGGATTGATGGGATAAAGATAGAAATGTTTAAAAGCAGGTGGGGATATAGTTTTGGAGTGGGTTGGTGCAATTTTTTAATGAATGTAAAGGAAGAAGGTAAGGTACCAAGGGATTGGCAGAGAGCATGCATAGTTCCGTTGTATAAAGGCAAAGGGGGCAAAAGAGATGCAAAAAAATTTTAGGGAATAAGTCTGTTTTAGTATACCTGGGAAAGGTATGGTAGAGTTATTATTGAAAGAATTAAGAGTAAGACGGAAAATAGGATAGCAGATGAACAAGGAGGCTTTAGGAAAATAGGGGTGTGTGGACCAGTGTTTACAGTGAAACATATAAGTGAACAGTATTTAGATAAGGCTAAAGAGGTTTTTGTGGCATTTATGGATTTGAAAAAGGCGTATGACAGGGTGGATAGGGGGGCAATGTGGCAGATGTTGCAGGTGTATGGTGTAGGAGGTAGGTTTACTGAAAGCAGTGAAGAGTTTTTACGAGGATAGTGAGGCTCAAGTTAGAGTATGTAGGAAAAAAAGGGGGATTATTTCCCAGTAAAAGTAGGCCTTAGACAAGGATGTGTGATGTCACCGTGGTTTGTTTAATATATTTATAGATGGGTTGTAAGAGAAGTAAATGCGAGGGTCTTGGCAAGAGACGTGGAGTTAAAAGATAAAGAATCACACATAAAGTGGGATTTGTCACAGTTGTCTTTGCTGATGACACTGTGCTCTTGGGAGATTCCTGAAGAGAAGTTGCAGAGATTGGGGGAGAATTTGGTGGGGTATGCAAAAGAAGAAAATTAAAAGTGAATACAGGAAAGAGTAAGGTAATAAGGATAACAAAAAGATTAGATGATGAAAGATTGGACATCAGATTGGAGGGTGAGAGTATGGAGGAGGTAAATGTATTCAGATATTTGGGAGTGGACGTGTCAGCGGATGGGTCTATGAAAGATGATGTGAATCATAGAATTGATGAGGGAAAAGGTGAGGGGTGCTCTTAGGAGTCTGTGGAGACAAAGAACTTTGTCCTTGGAGGCAAAGAGGGGAATGTAAGAGATATATTTTTTACCAACGTTTTTAAATATGGGTGTAAAGCATGGGTGATGAATGTTTGCAGCGAGAAGAAGGCTGGAGGCAGTGGAGATGTCATGTCTGGGGGCAGTGTGGGGTGAATATAAGCAGAGAATTAGTATTTTGGGAAGTTAGGAGGAGGTGCGGGATTACCAAAACTGTTGTCCAGAGGCTGAGGAAGGGTTTTGTTGAGGGGGTTCGGACATGTAGAGAGAATGGAGCGAAACAGAATGACTTAAAGAGTGTATCAGTCTGTAGTGGAAGGAAGGCGGGGTAGGGGCCGGCCTAGGAAAGGTGGAGGAGGGGGTAAAGGAGGTTTTGTGTGCGAGGGGCTTGGACTTCCAGCAGGCATGCGTGAGCGTGTTTGATAGGAGTGAATGAGACAAAGGGTTTTTAATACTGACTCTGTTGGAGTGTGAGCAAAGTAACATTTATGAAGGGGTTCAGGAAACCGGCAGGCCGGACTTGAGTCCTGGAGATGGGAAGTACAGTGCCTGCACTCTGAAAGGAGGGGTGTTTAATGTTGCAGTTTAAAAACTGTAGTGTAAAGCACCCTTCTGGCAAGACAGTGATGGAGTGAATGATGGTGAAAGTTTTTCTTTTTCGGGCCACCCTGCCTTGGGGGAATCGGCCAGTGTGTTAATATAATAATAATAAATAATAATAATAATAATAATAATAATAATAATAATAATAATAATAATAATAATAATAATAATCGTCAGATGATTATTATTATTACATAGAGCTCTGTAAGCTCTGTAGAGCTTACAGAGCTCTATATCCTAACATGAATGTTGTTACTTTTTGTTTATGTTTGACTGTTTATATGAAATAAATATTTAGCAAAATGCGGCGCAATGAGAAGAAAATACTCAAACGACCTCAAAAAAAATTCCTGAAATCTTGTTTTTCTTCTCTTCAGCGAGGTTATGGGTTTAATAAGAATGTTGGGCCTGAGGTTTACCTTGAGAGGGTTTACCTGGAGAGAGTTTCGGGGGGTCAACGCCCCCGCCGCCAGGTCTGAGACCAGACGCAACAACTATGTAAACCAATTTTTTTTATTTTTACATTCTATTTGAGAGATATAATGCGTGTGTGTGTGTGTGCGTGTGTGTGTGCGTGTGTGTGTGTGTGTGCGTGTGGTGTGTTGTGTGTGTGTGTGTGTGTGTGTGTGTGTGTGTGTGGTGTGTGTGTGTGTGCGTGTGTGCGTGTGTGTGCGTGTGTGTGTGTGTGTGTGTGTGTGGTGTGTGTGTGTGTGTGTGTGTGTGTGTGTGCGTGTGTGCGTGTGTGTGTTGTGTG